ACTGCAATAGCTCATTCTTTGTGTGACTTTTATGGTCTTCTGACGCAACTGGAACGTCAGCTTTCCCCTGTAACTGACAGGTCCAATACACGTGCAGTGGCTAGCAGGTCGTGTGTGGCACGCGTAGACGGTCTTTTTGGTTGCCTCAGATATTACTCTCATGCTCATTTCCTGAAGTCTGGACTTTGGCTCACCATCGAAGACGGTAAAGGATATGGGAAGTAAAGTAGGTCCTGTGTAAGTTTGCTTCACCATGAACCCATTTAGACACCGCAGGGCCCACCTCATGTGGCGGTGACGGATTTCATCGTTCACGACGGTCGGATTATCGTGTGAATAAGACCTAGCGACACACGCCAGGCATTAAGATTAGTGGCGTTGTGTGAATTAACATCTTATCTTGAGGTAGGTGGTTTGCTTGCGTCGCATTGTAGCATAGAATGAAAAGTCTTCGCTGGCAGAGGGACAGGTTTAACATAATTTCCTATTATGTCCAACGTGTGCCCCACAGCATTTTGATAACATTGATGGTGAGTTACGCGTGACTTAGATTATAATGACAGAAGAAGATGACTCGATCACTGGGACAATATTTTTAAGGCGAATAAAAGTTTTGTCCCAGTGATCGAGTCCTCCTCTTCTTAATTACTTCCTGGGACTCACATGTTCGCTTGTATTGGCAAATTATAATGACAGTAGATTTGCATTGCATCCTTCGCGCTGCCTTCTCTACCCCTCACCCACCGGACAACAAGTCAGAATTACCGGAGGCGACCTCGGGCGCAGGTGGCTCGTGAACTACCACACCTCCTAGTCTATGCACTAGACAGAAAAATTTCACCCAAAAAAAGGGGAGAGGAAGGGCTCGAATCCCAACTGAGTGGGAGTATCACAAAGGCCAAATCAAAAACGAACAATTGCAACCTGACCATCGGCGCTCAGTAGAGGATCAAGCAATCCCGCCATTTGGCAGCCGTCAAAGCCACAGCTTTGAGCACACCGTGATAGATTCACGTACTTCTTATTGTCTATAGTGAGGAAAATGCACCGAGCCGTCTCCTTTTTTCCCTCACAGAAAATGGGTGCGTTATTTACTAAGAGAAACTTGCTGCGCATGAGTATAACACAATAAGGTATCAGTAGTGGCAAGGTACTCGGCTCCTCCTCAGGTCCGGGTGTCAGACTGCAATAACTTTTTCTTAGTGTCTCTGATGATGAGTTCGAGTGCAAATTCAAAATGCCATGCGAATAAAGGTCCCCCTTCAGCGATCGCGTTTCCCTCTTTAAAAAGGCAAGTCAAAGTGCTGGGAAAATAATAACGGTACAGAAGACTTCATAGAGGGGGGATTCACGAAGACGACTGTTTTTCACATACCTAAAGTCTTCACTCAGTACTCACCTGAAGCAAATCTGGGAAACCCTGAGGGTGGAAAGCACGTTTAGGTATCGACGCTCTGTCGGTTAAGCAAAAGGCTCACAAACTGTGAACTGGAATTAACCTTACACCACTCAATATTTTAATTCGCGTTTTATTAGCTTTCAGTCAGTAATGCGTTACAATCTCAGATTGCTCCTACGCAGCTGACCACCTTCACATTGCCAATAAAAGTAAGTCATGGGTCGTAACATTCTATAGTTTAGCCACAGGTCCGTTGTTTTCGTCGGTCGCGGTCGGGAACATGATAATAGAAGGATGCTCACCAATCTGGTTAGGGAACATATATGTTCTGTTTTGACCCGGGAGCTCACTTTAAAGCCCTCACATGCAGTCACATAGCGACTTGCAGAATATGAGGTAGAGAAACCGATAAAGACGAGGGAGATCGAAATGTCCATTTCTAGGTTTTATGCCTTCATCAGCCAGTCATACAACTTCCTTTACTAGATCGGTGAACTCCACACTAGGATCATATTCCCGATCGCAAGCGACGAAAACATAGGGACAGTGGCTCAATGATAGTGTTACAATCCATGGCCAAAGGGTCGCGGGTTTGAATGTCAGATGATCTACACCTGGGATTGGGTATGACTAGCTGATGACGGAGTATACGCCAGAGATGGTCATTCCGGTCCCCCATGTCTCTGTCGGTTCCTTTTTATCATGTTCTACAAGTCGCTATGCGACTGCTTGCGAAAGCTCCAAAGTGAGCTCCATGGTAAAACGGAGCATACACGTTTCTTTGTCCTATCGTTTGGCCCCACAATATCAACGTAGATCGTAGAACGTAGGCAGAAATACACTACCAACAAAGACTAAGGATACTGGAATGACCATTCGTGGTTTATTAACCATCACCAGCCAGCTACACCCAAAGCCAGGTGTTGCGGCACCCGAAATTGAAACACACGACCTATTGACTAGACATCCAACGTTCAAACTACTACACCACGTGACCGTAGTTGAATTTCATGCGCCGATCGGGTTATCGAACATGCTCATCCCGTAACGTTGTGGTATAGGCAGGAGATCATGAAAACATGGGATTCGGTTGACGATAGCTAATGAACTAGAAATGGCCATCCCATTCACTTTTATCTGTTTCGATACACCCTCTCCCTCCTATGTATGATGTGTATTGCTATAGGCATCTACCTAGGGTTTTTGATGTCATCCGACTGCCCTGGCGACCGGCATTACCTTAGATCCCTCACGGGCAGTCTCGTTCCTCTTCTTGTGACGGGGAAGGACCAGTCGCATTTTCGTGCCAATTGCGCAATTTCGGTTCACTTAAAACGATGCGCCTCTATCCGCGTGGTCTGTCCTCCACCGTCCCCTCCCGTCCCCCCGCCCCCCAGATGCTTAGTGTCATCCGTTTACTCGAGCGCAAATGACACCGGAGTCTTAATTAGAGCTACCATCCTCCTCCTGCTCCTGCTCCTCCCCCTCCTCCTGCTTCTCCTCCTCCTCCTTCCTCCCACAGGCGCAGTAATCGTCGGCATGCATCGTGCATGCAGCTTGCATCGACGCCCCATTTAAATGCAAATTTAATTTTACGGCACGACACGATACCATCTGAATCAAAGCACGCTCGCGCACATTACCATGAAAGGCAGATCGACTGTCTGTGTTTGT